TTATGGAAATCACTCTGGGAATTTAAGGGGCGAGTTAAAGTAGGACATGTCAATGCCCAACAGAAGAACCCCTTCCAGGTTTGGAAGGTCACTGAATCACCAAGTGAACGTTTTGGGAGGGCGGTCCATGAATGAGTCGGCATGGGGAGAGGGCTGCAGCAATGCAGAGCCCCACACATAGCCGGCAAGTGGATTACACTGGACCAAAGCCAGTAGCCCTGGGGCCGGGGGCTATAAATGAGCCCTGACAGGAAGAGACACCCTGCACTGGGTCTGCATGCCTGATGGTAGATGCAAGCGCTCAAAATACTGTAAGATTGGAACAGAAAATACTGTAACAATTTGAGCCACTAAGTTACATTTTTTCGGACCAAGGGGTGCATTTTACAGCCCATACTGTCCAAACAGTGGCAAGAGACTTCACACCAGATGTGTTGCGTATCATCCTCAGAGTAATGGTTTAATAGAAAATTGGAATGGGCGGCTGAAGCATTTGCTGTCTAAAACCAGGGGAGATACAGGCTTGAGAGACTGGCTTACACACCGTCACGAGCATGTGCTCACACTCAACACGAGCGGGGCTGAGGGTGGGTCCCCACTGGATAGATTCCTCCACTTTTCTGGGGGTGTGGGCAAGTCGGGGTGGGGGAGGATGCTGATGCGACTGTATAACTCTTCCCTGCATCACAGCATCCCTACTCGATGCAGTGGTCCCAGAACCAGGGATGCAACTGTGGGGGCCCGAAGCAGGGATGATTCCTAAACAAGAAACTGGTAACTATACCTTTAAACCTTTATGTCAGAATTCCTAAGGGCCTGATGGGCCCGGAATGTGCCTTCACCCCCTCTGGCAAAGTTGGTGCTGACAGTGAATGCTGCCGTGCTGCCTAGCAGTTGCAAGAGCCCACTGGTTCTGTACCTGTGTAACCCTACTCTATGCGAGCGGCAGTGGACGGGGCAGGGGAGACACCTGCCAGCCTAGTTTCCTGGCAGCAATCTGGACCAGCACGGTGGCCAAACTAACGTCGCTTCCAAGAGTGGAAAAGTGTGGGTAAAGATAAATGACAAATGGAGAGGAAAAATAACAGCTGAGGGTAAAGGGATAAATAAGTGGGTTATGCAATGAGGGAAATCCAACATTTTATTAACACCTGGAGAGAGCCTCAGAGCAAGAGAATAATATAATCTCTTAGCAGAAGCATACCAGATGCCCAGCAGGCTGAAGCTAGTTTGCTGAGATCAGCCCTGATTTGGGGACCTGATAAGATTGAACAGCAGCCTGCACACCTGAATGGCATTGCTCTGGAAAGACATTCTGGTCCTGAGATATATTAACGAACAGGACCAACTGTTAAAAGATTAAATGGAATTCTAGCGATGCGCCTGTATCTTCTGACTCCTATTTTTCGGGCTACATCTACTACAAAGAATAACATTTGGGAACTGTTTCCTACTGGGACTTCAAACTGTGTGGTGTATAGCTCCCAGCAGACTGATCTATGTAATCACTGTGTAATTATAGATCTTGACAATCAATTGCTTAGAAAGGTCCCTGGTTATGATGGACAAAGTATAATGGCAGCATGCCGAGCATGGGAGGGTGTGCTGTGCACGAGCACATGTCATCCTGTTTCTTGTGGATGGAAAACGATTCATCAAAATAGGGAAAAACAGCAGGTCCCTGATGGGACTAAAGCAGTGGGCATCACATGGTAGCTCAAGTTCCCCTGGGGTACAGCCCTACCAGAGACAAGGCAGGCCATGGGAAGCCTCATGGCATACTCAAACTAAATTAAATTACATCTAGGTGTGCTTACCACACATCTAAGCCTAGTCTGGGGGACCCAAAATTTTGGGGTGCAAAACATGCACCCTATCTGCACCCAGGCCATTAGTACACAATGGCAACAAGGTCTCTGGTGGATTCAACAACACTGGCCCACAAGCCAGAAACAGCCTGAGGGTAAATAGGTGCTAGTAGGTATCCTAGGACAAGTGGAATTTGCTTTCAATGAGGAGTGGCATTCAGAGGAAAAAGATTAATTAGAATAGGCAGACTAGGGGGAGTTCTCTTCCAGGTGGAAGGCGAAGGATGGGAGCCAGCCTGGAAAGAGAATGAGGTTTTAGCAAAGTGGGTCAGGCAGACTGCCAATAATGCTGGATATGCTAGAACTAGCATTGGGAAGGGCCGTGCACCCCAATCCAACAAGGCCTCTTGACTATTTAAATACATATGCAGGCTGAAGTGGCCACGGGGCAGTGGCCCTCAATCCTAGCTGCAGAGGCTCAGGGGCGCACACACCTATGGGAATGTTACGGCCCTCCAAGCTTATGGAAGTTCTCTGGGGACATTTATAATTTACACAGATGCACCCTGACTGCTCGCACCTCCAGTAAAGCTAGAAATAAAATATACCCTGCAGCACAGTTAGTTGGGATAGGAATATTCTAAATACAACTCGTGTCCTCCCCATAGAAGGGAGGTGGGCCCTGCGATACAACACACAATGGAAATCAGACTCAGTACAAGCTCGTGAACTTGTCCCTAGTTACCCTGGAATCCGGAGCTAACTGAATCGTGGCCAGTGGTCACGACCTCTGTCCTTAATACCGTCTGGTATATGGGCAAAGGCAGATTCTGTTGGGAAGGCAAAGTGAACAACGTCGGTAGCTCTTACCGATTTGTTGTGTAATGAAAACGAATCGTACAGTAACCATATTTCGATACGGCGTAACCCTGTCGCTGGTAAGATTCAACTACCTCATGTAAATGAGCCTTATGGTAACACTGATACTGATGATCAAATGTATTGAGAGCCTGAGTTAAAGCCTCCTCGGGAGGTAATACCTGTGGAAAATGACTGGCCTGAGGAGGAGCAGGATAGCTAAACACCAGCTGATTTCTGTGCTGAATAGTTCTGCACAAATTGATCGTAAGGTACAAGTAGCAAATGACGTTTCTCTAAATCGATCCCGGGACTTCCCTGGTGGCGCAGTGGTTAAGAATCCGCCTGCCAATGCGGGGGACACAGGTTTCGAGCCCTGGTCCGGGAAGATCCCACATGCCACGGAGCAACTAAGCCCATGCATCACAACTACTGAGCCTGCACTCTAGAGCCCGCGAGCCCCAACTACTGAGCCCACGTGCCACAACTACTGAAGCCCACGGGCCTAGAGCCCATGCTCTGCAACAAGAGAAGCCACCACAATGAGAAGCCCACGCACCGCAACGAAGAGTAGCCCCCCCGCTCGCCGCAACTGGAGAAAGCCTCCACACAGCAACGAAGACCCAACGCAGCCAAAAATCCATCAATCCATCCATCCCTAGCCCACACAGCTTCTCCAAACGTCTGGCCTATTTATGTCAGTACTATTGCTACATCTGTTCTAATAAATGCGACCCCAAACATAAGTGCTGTGACAGGTATGATTGCTTTGCTGTAAGGGATCTGTTCCACCAGGGAGTGGACTGCAGTATTGTGATTTATAAGAAATACATATACTTGGTCATTCTCAGATATATTTGGTCCTTCATCCACAGTTCCCGGCTCACAGCTCCCAAAATCCTTGGAATTTTCTGATCAATATGAGCAATGGGAGCATCTCTGTTGTATTTGGTCTCTAGTCCTCAGTTCCAGAAAACACTTTAGGGCCAAAAAGGTGAAATGGGTGTCTTGTTATTAAGAAGAAGCCCTTTTCCATCACAACCGGGTTTATGTTAATGAAGGTGACTTTGGATCCCACCCCAGGGTGGGGGCTTGTTGCCAGGAGAACCAACCTTGTGATTAGCGGGTCAGAATTTTCAGTCTTGCGTCCTGACTCCTGGGCAGGGGAGAGGGGCCTCAGGTTGAGTCAGTCGCTATTGGCCAATGATTTAGTCAATCATGACCATGTAATGAAGCCTCCATAAAAGCCTCAAAAGGCAGCTTTTAGGCCCTTTTACAGAAAGCTTCCACACCAGGGAACCAGAACGCTTTGTGCTACCATGCAGGGTCCCAAGCTTCATGAGGACATAAGATCCCTTGTTCGGGACCTCGCCCCATGTATCTCTTCATCTGGTTGTTAATTTGTATCCTTTAAGAGCCTTTTATACTAAATTGGTAATCTACTGAGTAAATGGGTTTTCCCGAGTTTTGTCAGCAGCTCTGGCAAATTAATCAAACCAGAGGAGGGGGGCATGGGAACCTCCGATTTACAACCAGTTAGTCAGAGGCACGGGTAACAGCCTGGACTTGTGACTGGCACCTGAAGTGGAGGGTGCTCGGGTGACGGAGCCCTTTACCTGTGGAATGTGATTCTGCCTCTGGGTAGACAGTGTCAGAATTGCGGCCAACTGCGGGACACCTGGTTGGTGTCCAAGAATTGGATCCTGGAAACCTTTCCAGTGTACGTGTGAGGTAGAGGGTGCCTGCATGACCAGCCCCAATAGAAACCCTGGGCCGAGTCTCGAAGGAGCTTCCCTGATCGACGGCACTTCACACGTGTCGTCACAGCTTGGAGCTCAGGGAACCAAGCACATGATATGTGACTCCACTGGGAGGAGGCTTCCAGAAGCTTGTGCCTGGTTTCCCTGGGACTCCCCCGCATGTCTTTTGCTTTTGCTGATCCTGCTCTGTATCTTTTTGTTGTAATAGACTTATGAGTATGACCATACACCGAGTCCTCCTAGGCAATCATCCAACCTGCAGGTGGTCTTGGGACCCTCCAAACAAATGAGTTTAACAAAATATTAAAATTAATTTCACCCGCTTCTTTTTGCTTACAGTGGCTACTGGAAGATTCACCACCATGGATGTTGCTCACATTACACTTCCGTTGACGGTACTGCTTGAGCACCGTGGAACTGCAAGTGCTTAAAGAGTCAGACCAGAGCTTCCATTTTATTGGGGAAACTGAGGCCCAGAGAGGGTGGTACGTATGGCTGAGACCACACAGCAAGCGGAGAACAGGAGGACTTGGGCAGGGAACCCACTGCAGAACTCCAGCCCCCAGGTACTTACCGGATGGACCTCGAGTGGTTGTCTTGGGGACTGAGGGCTTTCTGGCCAGGGGTGCCCGACTTCCTTTGTCACTAGGCTCGCTCCGGGCGCTGAGTGGCCGACTGGCCCGGTCCCCACTGGCCAGCCCCTTGGTCTTAGCAGCAGTCACTGGAGTGGCTCTGGGGGCAGTGGTGCCACGGTTGGGGCGGGTAAGGGGCTTCCGGGTATGGCCGAGGCCCTCTCTCAGCCGGACCTGCTCAGGAGGCAGCATCTCAGGGTCCACCATGCAGATACTAGGTGGGGTGGGCAGTGGCGGGGGTATCTTGAGCGGGTCAGGCAGTGGGTCGCGGCGAGGGGCCCCAAAGCCCTCTGTGTCCTCATCCGAGTCCGCGGTGCCAGGGGCAGCAGGCAGGGGGTCCGAGTCAGACAGGGTAGGCAGGGACTCGCTGACGGACGTGGGTGGTGTCTCCTCCACCCCTGGAGCACCCGCCCGCTCCTGGGACCGGGCACTACTGTCATTGGAGCTGCCGGGGGACACAGGTGCCGGAGCCATGGGCACAGCCTTGCGGTGCTCAAACTCACAGGGTGATACCAAGCACAGGTCCACGTCGTGTGGGGAGGCTGAGCGGAGCACCCGAGGGCCACAGAGTGGGAGGCTCAGTCCGGCTTCACTTGCGGCGGCAGCTGGTGGCGGTAGCACCTGCTCAAAGGACACGGACAGGGACTCGTCCACCTCTGTGGAGTGCGGGGAGCCCACCTCGGCAGGCAGCGAGGGGGTGGTCACTGTGGGGGACGCATCCGGCCCAGGCTCCCCACCCCGCAGCGGGCTCAGTGACAGTGGCCCGCTGCTCTCAGCTGGGCCCTGGTGGGCTCCGGCGGGTGAGGGTGTGCACGGCTCGGGGGCGCTGGTGGCCAACAGCAGCTGCAGGGTCTCCTCCAAGCTGCCGCCCTCCTCCCCGGCTGGGCTCAGCCCCAGTTCCAGGCTGCTCTCCTGGCTGGGCGTGGCCACCAGCCGGGGGGCCGGGGAGCCGCAGGCCTCCGTGGCGGGGCTGGCCTCTCTGCACCGGAAGCTAGGTGGGCTGCGGGGCCCATTCTCTGCTGGTGGGACACCCGGGCGGGGTGTGTTGGGTGCTCTGCGGGGCTTGGGAGCCACCTGGGTACCTGCTTTCTTGCCACTGACCACAGCGGAGGCCGCCTGCCGTACCTCCCGGGGTTGGGTCCGAAGGGCGCTCGGCTTGGGGCCTTTCTTCACCTCCCGGGAGGGCCTGGCTTCTTTCTCGGCCTTGCGAGGGGCCTCAGCCCGCGGTGGCTCCTTCTGGGCCACCCCGGGGCGCTCCTGGGCGGGCCTGGAGGGTGCCGTCATCCGGCCCTCTCTCCTCAAACTGTCCCGGGAGCCCACGCTTTCCTTGCTCTCAGCTCGCCGAGGCCCCGCCAGGTCCTGAGGGGTCACCACAGGCTCCCGCAAGAACCCCAAGTGCTGCAGGCGGACCAGGCCATCCAGGAGGCGGGCGGGTGGCGTGCAGCCAGGGAACAGCACGCGCACCACCTTCTCGGAGGGGCCCGCGGGGTGCCACACCAGCAGGGCACACACAGAGGCCAGCGTGTGGTCAGTGGCGGCCGAGGGCGGGTGCAGCACGTACATGTCCAGCCGGCCCACGCCCATCTTCTGGAAGAGCACAGTGGGCTCGGCCGGCAGCGGCCCACGGTTCAGAGGCAGGGGGGTGATGCCCAGCCGGGCCAGGAGGCTCAGGGCCAGCTCCGCCTCATCCTCCCCGCGTACCAGCCGTGAGGCGGCTGCACGGGCATTGAGGAACACAATGCCCAGGTTGGGGGAGATCAGCCTGCGCAGCCGGTCATCCCCAGAGCCCCCGCCAGCGGCTGCCTCATCACGCTCTGCCAGCTTGCGCCGCAGCAGACTGTTGAGGCCGGGGAGGCTGTCAGCGCCCGCGTGGGTCACCAGCACAGCGTCCACCCGGTCCAGGTGCCGCACCAGCTTCCAGAAGCTTGACTTGGGGTTGGAGCCACCATTGACCAGCACGGTGAAGCCATTGACGGCGAAGAAGGCAGCATCCCCAAGGCCGCCAGGGAAGATGTAGCAGCAGGGCCGGGCGAGCCTGAGGAAGCCCACGGAGGCCGGAGGCTCGAGCAGCTCAAAGGGGGACGGCGGCTCCAGCGACTCGGCCACATACTCCAGGAACTCACGCAGGCCCTCAGAAGCCGGCAGCTGCACTGGAGGATTCAACCGCAGCTGGAGCACGCCCTGGAGGCCGGGCACTTCGGGTGCCAGCTGGGCCCAGTCACCAAAGGTCGGGCAGGTGATGGTGAGCTTGGGTGGGTCTGCAGGCGGGGGTGTGGAGGCCAGGAGATCCCGGATCTGTAGAGGGCAGAATGGTTAAGGGGTCACCTGGAGCCAGGCAACACCCAGCCCCTTGGGAAAACTAAGGCCCTTTGCCTGCCCCTGTCACCCTCAGGACAAAAACCCAGCCTTCCCCACATCCCAGAAGGGCCCATCACCACCTGTCCACCTCTACCCTCCCCCACCCTCTCTCACTCTCCCTGCCCCAGGGCCTTTGCACTTGCTGTTCTCAACTCCTAAAGCACAGCATCCTCCAGAGAGACCTACACTCACCGCCCCACCACCCCTATGTACTGGTTCTTATCAAACCAAACATGGTTTGCCAGTTTTTTGCTCATTTTGCCCCACCCAGACTAAGGGATTCAGAAGGGACCCCCATTCAGATGGGACCTAGAATCTGCGGTGCCACTTGAAGACTCTGAGACATCTGCTGATCTACAGGCCCACACACTGCAGTGGGTCATGGGACTGGGCCCAGGAGGAAGACACGCCACCACCATTATTCCACAGAGGAGGAAGGGACGATGCTCAGGGGGACAGCAGGTCGCTGGAGCCACTCAGCCCAGTGGGGACAAGCCAGACTTCAGAGGCAGGATGGTGAGGGGGCGGCTTACCTCTTTGTCCCCCAGGACCTGGAGGAAGTGGCGAGGTGAGAAGCCCCCTGTCTGGAGCAGCAGCTCGCCCGTCTCCTCCAGGCAGGGCCCAGCCAGCACCAGCAGCTTGTGAGAGGCAGGGTCCAGCAGAAGGTTCCGGAGCTGAGGGAGAGGGAGAGTGTTCAAGGCCCTATTCTGTGCAGTGAGATAGCACCCCTCTTTGGGGTGGTCCCCGGCCCCTAATCTGTATATACCACCCCACTCCTGTCCCCATGACGGCCTGGCCAGTACTAAGCTAGAAGCCGGGACTGCAGCCTGTAGGCCTCCAGTTGGGCTCGACCCCCTATCCCTGCTCCCAACTCCTGCTCCTTCTACAAAGCCCAGCTCCAGTGCCCCCTTCTCCTGGAAGCCCTGCACACCCTTTCTGGGCTCCCCGAAGCCCACCTCTCCCTCTGGCCCAGCCCCAGTGCCACAGGGAAGAGGGGCCTGTGTCTGGCTCTGTCTCCTCCAGCCCCTTCAGGGAGCATTTTTGATCAGAGGAATCAACCCGTACAAGAGTATCTAGAGGGGTGTCCCGGGGCTCTATCTTGTTCATCTTTCTCATGGGAAATTGAGAGAAGAGCACAGATGTCCACAAGCCAGAAGTATTAAGTCAGTTCAGACAACTAGCGGGGCGCAGCCCAAAGGAGCGCATGGGACGCAGACATCGGTTGGGTTCTGCCCTCCCACCTCCAGCCCTTCCCTATCTCATTCCTTGCTCCCAAACTCCAGCCTTTTCTGATTCCACCCGCTCCCACCATCAGCTCTGAGGAGGGAATAAATCGAGGCTGGAGTCATCGGGGGAGGCTTCGCTGCTGCTGGGTGTCAAGAAGAGGATTTCAGGCAGCTTGAAGGCAAGGACACATGAGGTGAGGCCCGGGGACGGCGCTCGCCCCAGCAGCCCGCTCCCCCCAGGAGCCTACCCTTCCCTACCTCGTCACACAGGGACTTGTCTGATGGATTCAGGAGGACCAGCGTCTCCAGGGTGTCTCCACGGTGGTGCAGGCTCCGCTGGCCTGTGGGGGAACCAGGCCCTGTGAGTTTAGGGCTGAGCCACGTGAGTGGGGGTCAGCCTGTGACAAGGTCAAACCCTGCCTCACTGTGTAACCCCAGGCGGCCATGAGCCCCTCCAGGACTCCGCTTCCCGAGACCTTCAGCCAGAGGGTTACCCAGGGATTAACAGGCATGTGGTAAAGCTGCAGGTCAGGATGAGGCAAGAACAGGAAACCGCCTTGGCAGGCCTCACGCTGGAAACAAGGCCTCCACTGCTGGCAGGGCCCAATTCACAGATCTCAGCCCTGTGGGGGACGCCACTGTCACCCTCACTTTATAATCAAGGAGCCGGAGCCCAGGGAGGGCCAAGGAGAGTACACCAGGAAAAGGGCACAACATGGGCAAGGGCCCTGCGGCAGGAATGAACTCTCTGTGTCTGAGGATCAGGAAGGGGCAGGTGGGGCTGCAGTGAGGGGCAGGAGGGAGCCGAAGGCAGGGAGGCCTCATGGGCCACAGAGAGGGGAGTGGGGTTGATTCTGGGATCCGAACCCTCATCCGTCCCCCAGAGACCAGATGTATTTCAAATATGGAGCACCCGGCCCTGGGTCTGGAGAGGCAAGGATCCTCTACTGCTGGTTACCCTTTTATCAGTTTATCACGGGCTTCTTATCATGTGCGGATATTGCCCCATTCAGGTGGGGAAATTAAGGCACAGAGGGGGGAAGTGGCTGCCAAGGCCACACAGAGCGGATGGCATTTCCAGCTCCCCCAAATGGTGAGGGTCAGGAAGCCACCCAGAACCACTAGGACAATGAGGCGACGGACACTTCCTTCCCCTCCTGCAGCGGCCTGGAGGTGACTCAACAGGCTGGCTGAGGCAGGGGAGAGCTGCAGGCAACACCCAGGCCCTGCCCAGCAGCTGCTCTGTTCACCCCGGTCACCCCAGAATCCCCAGGGAGCCACGGGACATGTGGGGCTGGCCCAGGAACCCCAACTCCCTCCTCGAGCTTGCTTTCTCAGGTCTCCATCTATTGAGCATCTACTGTGTACCTGGCCCTGTGAAGGAATCACAGGCATAAACCAGACATAGTCCCTGCCACACCAGGCCTACACTCCACCCTCCAGTCCCGCTCAGCAGCCCCTCACTTTCCAAATGTGCTGTCCCTTTGACTGGGCCCTTCCCTCCACCCTCTTCACCAGCCCCAGCTGCTTCTCATCCAAAAAGACCCTCCTCAGAGGTCTCCCTGTCCCCCACACCTCACTGCCTTACCTGTCAAGTGGGGACAAAAACACAAGTTCTTGCCTTGTGGGTTGCTGATGACCAAAGGAAGTGAGTACTGGCTCAGGGCCTGCCCCTAGTCTGCACTCAGTAGATCTCAGCTGTATTATTACCGTTGCTGCTTACAGCCATTCCCTGACCCCCATGCCTGGCATATAGTTGGCACTCAAAGAACACCTGTCCACTGAATGAGCACAAGGGGAGAGCTGGGGCATGCAGGGTCCCCAGCCTCACCTTTCACAATGCTGGAAAAGGTGGCCGAGTGCCGTGACACGAAGACCTTGAGCTGCTCATCGAGGCTGCAGACGCCAGGGTCAATGTCCCACGACCGGATGCCTGGTGGGGAGAGGGGGGAAGGGAGGTAGGAAATCAGCTGGGTTTCCCAGCTCCCAGAATACTTCAATAACTAGCGGAGGGCTGGTGAGGGCCGCCACAGGCCCCTCCCCTCAACCTGCCCCTGCACGTGATGGCCTGGAAATTCAGAACCATCCAATGTGCCTTTGGAGCCCACTGCATCCACCCTCAAGGAACCCAAAGTGTAACTCAGGCATTTTACGGAGAAGACTGAGGACATCAGAAAGAAAGTCCCGGCCTCCTAAACAGTCATCTTGTCCCCTCCGTCATCCTCCCACCTCCACCACTGGTTTCACTGTTCCTCAGCCCTGCCAGGCACAGTTCCCAACTCTGAGCCTTCGCGTGAGCTGTTCCCACTGCCCAGAGGTCGTTCTCCCCACCCTTCAGGTCCTCTCAGCCCTTTGCATCCTGTGAACGCTGCTGTAACCATCTGAGCTTAAAACTTGGTCCATCTCCTCACTCACTTTGGTACCCGCCCCCCAACCAGACCCATTAGTCCTGTGAGGGCAGGACTGAGCCTGCCCATGGTCCCCACGCTATCCCTGATGCCCTGTGGGGTGACATTCCTTAATCCTGTGAACCGAGATGTTTGCTGCCGTCCTATTTTACTGGCCACGGACGGCAGGCCCTGCCGATCTGAGAGATGGGGGATGGATGAATGCCCTCCAATCACGGTTCAGGGTGCACCACGCCTGCCGGTCCCACCGTGCCAAGTGGCTGCAGGTTAACCTTGCAGGTGCACCTATGACTCATATCCCCAGGTGCCAAATTCCCTAGGCAGGCAGCACCCGCCCACACCCCAATTAGCAGTTCCTCATGGAGCTGCGGAAAGTAGGCCCTGGAGCTCCGGGCCCAGCCTCCCCATCCCTGCTCCTCCCTCCAGGACTTCCAGGCTGCTAAGGCCCGAGGATTCGAGGAGGGCCCGGAGGGCGGGAAGCGGAGCCGTTGCCCATGCTGCCCAATCGCGTGGGTCCCAAAGCCTGGGCCCGTATCCCCTCCCCGGTCCGCACCCCTCTCAAGGCGGAGCAGCCCAGCCCAAACCCGAACGCTGTTTCCTCTGCGAGCACGCACGGACTCTGCCTGCGCCCTGTGCCTAACGGTAAGGGGATAGGGGCACCGGGGCCCCCGGATCCAGCCGCCCCCCGCCCCATCCCCCGGCCCTTAGGCCGAGATGCGCCGCCGCGCCCGCCTTCCCGACACCGCGTTCCCGGGCCGGCCCGACCTCGTTCAAGCTCCTCCAGCACATAGGCTAGCAGCCCGGGGCACCCGCACTCGCCGCCCACCACGAGCAGCAGTGAACTGGGCGCCTCCATCGACCCGGGCCCTGCAGCCGAAACCGCCATCTTCGCGCCGGCCAGACGCTCCGAGCGCCCGCCCTGCTGTCCCCGCCCCTTAAAGGGGCCGGACCGGAAGGGCTGAAGACCCCGCCCGGAAGCCCCTCCTCGCACGTTATCTGCCCCTTCCCGCCCATTGAGGTCATGGGAGATGGGGGTATGGACACCTAAGGGTTGGCCTAGCCTTGGGTCTCCACTTTGGGCACACCTCCCAAATAACCACTGATTCATTCATTCATTCACTCACTCTTTCATTCATTCATTCACTCAACAAGTTCTGACTGCATGCCTACTACATGCCAGTCGGAATCTCTGCCCTCTGGAAACTCACATCACATCACAGTGGGCCCAATCAGAACCAGGTCCCAGATGGTCCCAGTTCCCCAGGTCAGTGCTTAAACAAAGAAAAGAAGGGTACCTTTGAGGGCTTTGAGGGATGCATAGGAGTTTGCAAGGTGTGGGTGATGGGGCAATGACATGTGAGGCATAAGTTAGATCATGTGCAAAGTTTTATTTTTTGTTTTTTGTTTTTTATGGTATGCGGGCCTCTCACTGCTGTGGCCTCTCCCGTTGTGGAGCACAGGCTCCGGACGCGCAGGCTCAGCGGCCATGGCTCACGGGCCCAGCCGGTCCGCGGCACGTGGGATCCTCCCGGACCGGGGCACGAACCTGTGTCCCCTGCATCGGCAGGCAGACTCTCAACCACTGCGCCACCAGGGAAGCCCCATGTGCAAAGTTTTAAAGACAGGAAAGTACATGTGAATTTGAGACACATTCCAGAGAACTCTGGGCCTGGAACAGGGCACACTTATTCTGCTATATGCCAAGCATTTTACTCCATTAGTTCACTGAATACATGAATAAACCTATGAAGTTGGCACTGTTATTACGGTCATTTCAGAAAAAGATGGAGAGGAAATAGACTTGGAGAGATGAAGTCACCAGGCCCATAAGAGGTAGAGCAGAGATTCAAATCCAGGCAGGTCTGATTCCAGATTTAGTCTGTGGCAGAGACTGCCTGGTTCACATGGGTAGCCCTCCTTCCCCAGACAATTGCATTTGGCCTTTTTACCCATGGTGGTCACTACCTGGAAAATTATGTTGCAGCAAACTTTTTGACAGTTGCCCATGTCCAGGAAGGGCTGGGCTGTCTCCCTGGGGAGTGAGCTCCTCATCTTTGGAGGTATACAAAACCAATCAAGACAAATGAAAAGATCTGCCAAGAAGGATCAGCCTCCCACTGCCCTTCATTATCTGTTCAGCACAACTTGCTCCCTGGTCAGTGTGTAACAGTTGCTGGCCACGTGCCATCTAATGTCCAACATTTGGGCGCTCCACTTCCTCTCTCTCTTTTTTGGCCCTGGCATCTTTCCTCTATCCTGGTCCCTCCCCCTTGGCTCCCTTCCCTGTTTCCTGCCTGCCTGTGATTTCTTCTATTATTGCTCTGAGCAATAATGGGAATGGAAGCGTCTGTGTCAGGTTCTGTCTCCCCCAGCAGGATAGGAGATCGTTGGAGGCCAGATCAGGCTGAGGTTTCTCTGGGGTCCCTGGCCTTTTGCAGGACAAGGCTGAGCATCTGGGAAGTGCATGATAAAGGGTTGTGAAATGGGGGTAAAAAGCTAGTTCATCCACCATTCATCCATCCGTTCATTCATTCATGTGTATTTATTGATTGGTCAGGACTGGAGCCAGGACCTTCTGCCTGCAGGCTATGCTCTTCCTTCTGCCCAAGGCTGTAAGTTATGATTGCTAGTGTTCATTCTAGTTGGTCTTAAAGGGCCCTGAGGTGCCACAATGTATCTCTACCAGGAGATCTGGGAGCTGATGTTCTCAGTGTTCTGGAGGCCTGAGGTTTTCCTGTCCCAGAGTATCCCCCAGTCTGGGGACCCCGGTCTGGTGAGTGTGGGGAGCATCTCCCAAGAGATGAAAAAGCATCTAGGAACCACTTCTGAAATCCCAGGCATCAGACTCCAGTCACTGCCCTCCTGCTTCTGTCCACACCCAGCTCTATGCCTGTTTCCAAGTCATCAGTCCCCAGAGGGATAAGGTGATGACATTTGTGGTGAAAATGGAAAACCCTCGACCTTCAGGACCGCTGGATTCTCCTGTGTCCTTCCCCTGGCAATTCTTTTCTCTCTCTCTCTCTCTTTTTTTTTTTTTTGGCCACACCACACGGCTTGTGGGATCCTACTTCGCCGACCGGGGATCGAACCCATACGCTTGGCAGTGAAAGTGCGGAGTCCTAACCACTGGACCGCCAGGAAATTCCCCTCTTCTCTCTTTTTAACATTTTTGTTGAGGTTTAACACAGGCATGGTCAAGTTCATGAGTGTCAGGATTGGAGGTTGATTGAGGTGATGACCCTTGGGTCAGGATATAGGACATTTCCAGCCCCTGCCGGTTCCTTGGAGTCTCCAGTTGATTCTCCCCTCCCTCAAGGTGACCACTACTCTGACATCCATCACTTGGTGAGTTTTACCTGATTTTGAATTTCACACATGGGATCGCAGGGTGTCCACCGTTGGCTCTGGCTTCTCTTGATCCTCATGTTTGTGGAGCAGGCAATTATTCCTTTTCGTGGTTACGTAGTATTCCTGGGTATCATTTCTTTCTTCCTTTTGTTTTATTTATTTATTTTAAAAAATGCTTTGGGGAAAAAAAAAATGCTTTGGGCTTCCCTGGTGGCGCAGTGGTTGAGAGTCCGCCGGCCGATGCAGGGGACACAGGTTCGTGCCCCGGTCCGGGAGGATCCCACGTGCCGCGGACCGGCTGGGCCCGTGAGCCATGGCCGCTGAGCCTGCGCGTCCGGAGCCTGTGCTCCGCAACGGGAGAGGTCACCACAGTGCGAGGCCCGCCTACCGCAAAAAAAAAAAAAGGGCTTTTTGGCCGCGACGCACAGCATGTGGGATCTTAGTTCCCTGACTAGTGATGGAGCCCATGCCCCCTGCGTTGGAAGCGCAGAGTCTTAACCACTGGACTTCCAGGGAAGTCCCATTTTTTTTCTTTTTATATTGTGGTAAAATAAATATAACATATTACTTATCATTTTAACCATTGCAAGTGTATAATTCAGGGATATCTAGGACATTCAGGATGTAGCATGACCCTCACTAGTATCTAGCTCCAGAATACTTAAAAGAAGACCCCATGCCCATTAGCAGTCATTCCCATCCCCCCTCCCTCCCAGCCACTGGCAACACCTCTTCTGCTTTCTGTCCCTGTGGATTTGCCTCATCTGGACAGGTCATACAATATGTGGCCATTTCTATGTGGCTTTCTTTACTCAGCATAATGTTTTCAAGGTGCATCCACGTTGTATCACGTGTGACCACTTTATTCCTCCATGTGGATCTACCACATTTTGTTTGTCCATTCATCTGTTGATGGACATTTGGGCTGTTGCTACCTTTTCGCTATTGTGAATAGTGCTGCTGCGAATATTCACACGCAAGTTTTTCTTGAGCATCGCTCTCAGTTCTTCTCGGTCTATATCTAGGAGTGGAATTGCTGGGTCATATGGTAAGTCTATATTTAGCTTTTGAAGAACTGCCACACTGTTTTTACACAACAGCTGTAACATTTTACATTCCCACTGGCAGTGTACAGGGATTCCAGTATCTCAACCTCCTTGTAAACACTTGGATTTTTTTCCTTTCTATCTTAACCACTGGGTGCCAATTTTTCATGATTTGTCCATTTTACCTGTTTGTGGACATTTGGGTTGTTTCCAGTTTGGGGCGATTATGGTTAAAGCTGTTTTGAGCCTTTTTGTTCATGTCTCTTGGTAACTATACTCTTTTCTCCCCCAGTAAATGCCCAGGGGTGGAATGGCTGAGTCATGGGGTAGGACATGGCTGGGCTATTTTCTCAAGTAGCCTGTGAGGGAGGCAATGCCACCCATGTCCTGCCAACACTTAGGTTTCAGCCTTCTTTTTGTTTGTTTTAATATTTTATTTTATTTTGTTGAAGTCTAGTTGATTTACAATGTTGTGTTAGTTTCTGGTGTTCAGCAAAGTGACTCAGTTATACATATATATATTCTTTTTCATATTCTTTTCCATTATGGTTTATCACAGGATATTGAATATAGTTCCCTGTGCTAGACAGTAGGACCTTGTTTATCCTTTCTATATAAAATAGTTTGCGGGCTTCCCTGGTGGCGCAGTGGTTGAGAGTCCGCCTGCCGATGCAGGGGACACGGGTTCGTGCCCTGGTCCGGGAAGATCCCACATGCCGCGGAGCGGCTGGGCCCGTGAGCCATGGCTGCTGAGCCTGCGCGTCCAGAGCCTGTGCTCCACAACGGGACAGGTGAGAGGCCCACGTACCACACACACACACAAAAAAAGTTTGCATCTGCTAATCCCAAGCTCCCAATCCATCCTTCCCCTACCTCCTTCCCCCTTGGCAACCACAAGTCTGTTCTTTATGTCTGTGAGTCTGTTTCTGTTTCGTAGATAAGTTCATTTGTGTCATATTTTAGATTCCACATAAAAGTGATATCATATGGTATTTGTCTTTCTCTTTCTGCCTTACTTCACTTGGTATGATAATCTGTAGTTCCATCCATGTGTTGCAAATGGCATTATTTTATTCTTTTTTTATGTCGGCCATTTTAATATTTGCCTTTCTTCCCTTCCTCCCCCATCCCCCTCACCAACTCTGTTCTTCAACATTCATTAAGCATTTGTGTTGACAACACTCTAGTTCTGAGTGCTGGGAGAGGAACAAAGTCCCTGCTCCTGGGTACAAATAGCTCTCAACCTGGGACAGGAGGGAGCCCGAGGGCTGAATGCTGATATGTCAGTTCATTTCATTCTTGCAACAACTTGGGCCATAAACTCTGAGAAAACACATTTAATACATGGGAAAAAGGGATTTGGAGAGTCAAGGGACAGATCCAGTGTCTAGCACCCCAGCTGGGATATGAACCCAGGGTATGTGACTCCAGGCCCTGAAAGAGGCATTCATTCATTCATTGTTTATTCATTTGTTCATTCATCCATTCCGTAAACACTTCCTGATAACTTTACTGTGCCTCCAGGAG